CCCTTTACCTTGCTTTTTCTACTACCTCTTTTTCTCTGTGCATAAATATATTGGCTTTTTCATCATCAAAGAAACATGCATAAACAGCCCAATATTTAATTAATATTAAATATTTAAATATTTAATGGTTAGTATTCTCCAGCTACTAACCTTTTTTCTGCTACTCCTTAACATACTTGCTTCATTGTAAAGCATACCCTTATTTAGCCCTGGATGGTATGGCTCATTTGGTTGGAGCATCATCCCATAAACCATAGGGTCCTGGGCTCCATTCAAGGTCAGGGCAACTGCCTAGGTTGCAAGTTTGGTTCCTATGTCAGGGCATGTGTGAGAGGCAACAGATTGATGTTTCTTTCTTATAGCATGTTTCTCCCCCACTCTCTCTTCTCCCTTTCCCTGTCTCTAAAGTCAATAAGCATGTCCTTGAATGAGAATAAAATAAATAAATTAGTTAAAAATAAATAAAACATCTAGTTGTTTGAATATGATAAGATTGACACAATGCCATTGTTAATTATTAAAAATATGTAAATAAGCAAAAATGAAAAAATAAAATTAATCAAAATAAACTGCACAGTATTTTGTTATGCATAAGTGCATATGTACTTGTCAAGCATTTTGTCATAAAATACTTTCTATAGAATAATTTTTAAATCACTAGACGCATAATGTTGTATATGAGTACCCTACTGTGGGTATTTAGAGCCTTTCTAATCATGTTGTTCTCTTAAACAAAGTACAGATCTTTGCAGAAAAATTACTAACATTTTCTTTAAGATTAGGTCCCATCAGTAGATTTAGTGGATGAAAGTGTATGGTATCTTAAAAACTTGACAGATTTTCATAAAGGTTTTTAAGAACATTTGCATCAATTTATTTCTCTCTTTAATTTTGCTTTTTCTCACATCTCAAGAAACTTGATCAGTAGAAATTCTCATTTTTAAAATTTTTTCCTATTTTTGAACTTTTTCATATGTCTGTTCATTATTTGCACACATTATTTATAAATTACTTACATTCTTGGTCAGCTTTTCCATTAAGGTGATCATATTTTTATTTGTAAATATTATTTATATATTGAAGATATCAACCTTTTTCTTTTTTAATGTTTATATTTTCTTAATATGATTTCATCTATTTTCTCATCTTTTTCCCTTTAATCATGACTAAGTGTTTGGTTATGGAGTTTTTCAAATAATAAAGTGAAATGCAGTAATATTACCCTTATTTTTTTGCTGTATTACCAAACTTAGAAAAGCCTTGGCACTTCTATGTAATTGTGTTTTAACATAAATTTTATTAAAAGATAATTTATATAGCCCTAGTGCACAAATTGTAGTATAAAACTTTAATGATACATATGCAGGCACTGAGATTGAAAAGCAGAATATGACCAGAACCACAGAATCGATCACACACCTTCCCTGAGACTACTCATTCTCACGCTGGTTTGTTATTCTCCATTAGAGAATGGGTGGGCAGAGCAGGGGTATTTTGTTATGTTTTTGAATAAAAAATGTTTATATCACTTTATATTTATGAAATTTTGATGATATGCTATTTCACTATTTTTTACTGTTAATCCTAGACATTAATGCATTCTAGAATTATTGTATTCCAAAATGATTATCTTTACCTTTTTTCAATACTGCTAGAACATAAACATCCTTTAATTCAATGTATTCATTTCTTGACTTTTGCATTATTGTTACTATGCACTTAAATTCTACATACATTATAAATGTCATAAAATATTAGTATTCTTGCTCTTTTGGCCAAAATTCACTGATATTTGTGTACATATTTACTTTTTTTTAGAAATACTTTATACAATTAAGTGAAACAATGGTTGCCTCTGCGATCATTTTCTTCTGCCTAAATAGCCCTATTATTTCGTATTTACATTAAAAGGGCATTGGTGATAAATTCTCGATTTTGTTACTTTCACTGTTAAAAATAATTTTTGTTTCTCATTGCATTTATTAAATCTCCAGAACAATATTAAGGAGTGAATAGTATAGACATTCTATGTTTTCTGAATTTAATGGGACTTCTGTTTTACTTTACTCTTAAGTATAATATTTACTGTTAATATATTTGTACCCTAGTAAAGTATTATTCTACTCTATTATTGTTTTCTAAAAGCAATTTTAAGTCAAGAATAATTAGTGAGATCAAGTATCTTTATAATATCAAATATGGTGATTGCACTTTTATTCATGTTTGATAAATTAGTAACTTGGATGCTATTAAAACCTTCTAAGTTATTAAAGATAGTTACAGGAACTCTTTTTCCCCTAAAGTATGAGGCACCCTCCTAAATTTTTTTAAAGTATTTCTTTGTTAGAAATTTTTTAAACACCTCTGCACATACCTGCCCTGTATACATGGGCTAGTGATCTCTTTTGCTAGTTAGTGTGTTTGGGAGGTGTTATAGCAGATACAGTACCTGGAAAGCTTGTGTTGTTTGGGTGTTTTTATTTTTTATATACACAATTTTAAACTCTGGCACTGGATCAATACAATTAATTATTCATGATATTTAATTAATAGGTATGAAATGGGTTTTATAAGTGATTACAAAAATTTCTGTAAATACTCAAGCCTGTGATAAATATGTAAACTTAGAGTTGAATTTCAGTTATTTGCTCTGAAAAGAGTAAATGATAGGAAAGTTTGAACCCACCATCATCAAATGTTGATCATTTTGTATCTTCATTTTGTATTTATACCATGTAGAAACTACAATCTGAACTAAGTAGAAAATTCAGGGTTTTTTTTAATCCTTACTCGAGGATATGCTCATTGATTTTAGAGAGAGGAGAAGGGAGGGAGGTAGAGAAAAAAATAAATATCAATGCAATAGAGAAAAAATCAGGTGCCTCTAGTACACACTCCAACCCGGGACTGAACCTGCAACTGAGGTTGGAGCGACGGGGTAACACTCCATCTGAGCCACATTGGACAGAGTGAAAATTCAATTTTTTATTTTATTCTGCCTTTGAGAAACAATGTCAGGTTTGGGTTTTTCTAACTGGTTTTTATTCTCAATTAACTTAAAAAATTGCCCTATCATTTTTGTTTCATATATAAGATCTTACATTTCACCCTACATAGTATTACTAGGGTCATATATAACATTTTAAGAAATTCTGTGTATTTTGCGTGAATGAGATTTTAAAGCACACTACTAGTTTGTAGGAGCACATAGACAAAGGCTTTAAAATCAGCCACCGACAGTTTCTTATACTGTTCTATCACTTGATAGCTGCATATGATCTTTGATCAATACATTCTTGCCTATAAAATAATATTACTTGGGATTATTTTGGATAGTAAGTGAAATCTTAAACACTTATTCAGTCCTTATTCTATGGCAGTCAGTGTTCTAAGTGGTTCATTATGAGATAAGATTTAATCTTTACAGTAACTCTATGGATTAGCCTCCATTATAATCTCGTTTTTAGAAAAGAAGAAACTCAGACTGAGGATTTAAACAACCTTCCAAATGTGCCTGATGGCAAGGGGCAGAGCCAGAATGTAAGCCCACCGTGGCTCTGCAGTGGAGCTCATACTGCTCTTCACAAGCACAGGGATTCTGATTTGGTTCTTGACACCTATTAGGCATGTAAATACTTTTTATCCTTGTGCTTAGCATAAATCACCAAATATTTTTTAAATATTAAGAGTACTATTTCACAATAAGTTGATTACTTTCTTAACTACACCATCAATTTAGCTGAGAAAAATAAGAGAACTATTTCAACTAATATGGTGTAAAATTACAAATTTTCTAATTCTTCCTGGATATAAATTCATCTGATCACTGGCATTTTTTGAGTCCTAATTCCTCATATTTAGATAAATCATTACCATATGTAACAATTTATGTAATTCTTGCTAATTAGTAATTCTTAGCTAATTTGTCATTGGTAGCTTGCTCATAGCATCATCAACTGACTTTCATGTGTAAAGACCTTTGATGAGGTATGAATGCAAGCTGTGGAAATAGCTTATTCAGGGAATTTAATTTGTGAATAACTGCTTAGAGTACATGGTGTGAAATTCAAAAGCAAGTGAGATAAATGCTTCCTTTTTATTAAGTACTAGTTTCCCAAGGACAGAGGTTGGAGGGCGTCAGGAATCGGGTGCTACCCCTTTCATTTCATTCATCAAAGTAACACTGAGGGAGAGATTGTGTTGGAGGCAAAGGTCTCAGGTCACACGTAACTGAAGAAACAGGGTGCTGATGTCAAGAAGAAAAAAGGCTGGGACAAGAATGAGGGAACCGGACTGAGACATAGCTAATAGGCGGTGACAAATGGAAAGGTCATGTTTTTAAATTATACTCTAGATTTTATGGCCAAAATTATACATATGCTACAGTGTTTATTCAGTGATTAAAAGATTTGCACTGTTTGGGAGAGTTATGTTTCACAAATGTCAAGCAACTTCTGAAAGAAAAACAGATGAGAAGAAGTAGAGTTGCTACTTTGTTCTTTTTTTCTTGCAAGATGCTGGAATTTGCAAGTGAATAAGTATTTGGGGCTTCTAATACATAAGTGTCATAAAATTATTCTAAAGAATTCTAATTTATGATTTAATGGAAAAATTTTAACATAAATTCCCAGTGCCTAATTTTATAATTATATATGAATATAGAGGATTGATTATTCTGGAACTGTGAAATTTTGAAGGATAATGTTCTGTTCCTAAGGCAAGATCTATATATACCTATGTCCTAAAGAAGCAGTTACTAAAGATGAAATTATGTTAAATTTTGGCAGCAATACCAAGATAATTTTGCCTGTATGGATTTCTCTTAAAGGGCACATCCTAAATATTCAACTTCATAGAAAAGATTAGCACAAGCTCCATGCACTTCAACAAGTCACACACCCACTTATGTAAAGACATACACACATGCATAGAAGTATAGAAAAGTTTTGGCATTTTCTCTATCTTATAAGAACCATGTGATTTTCCTTTCTTTTTGCCAGGAGGTATTTTTGAATATGTGGAATCTGGCCCAATGGGAGCAGAGGAGCTTGCGTTCAGATTTGCTGTGAACACCATCAACAGGAACAGGACCCTGCTGCCCAACACCACCCTCACTTACGACACCCAGAAGATAAACCTGTATGACAGTTTTGAAGCATCCAAGAAAGGTAATTGAAATTTAGCATTCTCTTTTCTGAAATTTAAATTTTCAGGCATTCTTAAGAGATTTCTTAATTTCAGATATAATTAAGTCATGAGGAATATTATCATGAAATGTTTCTTTTCATAATGTGCCTAAATTTATCAGGTAAAGTGATGTGATCATGTATTGCAAAAAACAGTGCTTATCACAAAAAATGCAGTCAGATCTGTTGAGAGTGAAATTTCTTTATTCTCCAACCAATCCTTCTGATATGTTAACAAATTATTCTATTTTAAGAACTCACCTAAAATAAAACAGTATGTATGAAAACTTTACCAAGTTTTGCAATCTACTCTCAAAATTTATTTGCATTACCTGTTGATTCCATTATATAATTACTGTGGTCTCATTTGCTGTCTGCCTTTAAAGTCCTATAATTCCAAGGGATCTCTGAACTTTCTTGGAAATTTTTGAACAGCCCTTAATGTATGTATTATACATGGACATTTTTAACCACTTGATGTTCTTTCTTATAACTTAAAATAAGTGGCTAATGATAAAAGTGAAGAAATCATTGGAATGCTTCATTAATTTTGTTTTATCATTTACATTGTAAATCTGTTTTAAAAGATAAGGATGGGGACATAATTTTGTGGAATATGAATTTAACATTTATATATGAAGGAAGGTAACAGAGAAACTATTGTCAAGGCATTATTTTAACCAAGCAACAGTATTAGTAGTAAATGTGTTTTGAGAGATGTTTCCATATTCTTACCTTGTCTAAGTAGGTAATTGTGTAGTTAGCATTCATGTAACAAGAATTAAATTTCATAATATAGATTTTCTCCAAGGAATGGAGAGCACTTGTTCTAAATTCCCACTTTTAAAACAATGTTTGCTTTTCTGTAGTGCTAATGTTATTTTGTTAGCTATTTTACATTGATAGATATGTACATAATTATACATAATCCTAACTTGATGCAGATTTTTTTCTAAACTCATTAATATTAATGAAAGTTGGTAAGGTACAATATTTCTCGAGACAGAATCCTCTTTCCCCCCAGCTATCTTGTGTTTATCAAGGTCTGTATTCTGCCTGCCCTTCAAATTCATATCTTTATGAATACAAATAAGTTTCCATATTTCAGAACCATGTCAGGGTGATAAAAGGTTTTAAAGGCTGAAAAAAAGGGTAAAGATTATTGTGAAGTACTACATTTGTCATCATAATTGCAGAATAAGTCATTAACTGGAAGACAAGTGCATGTGATTAGTGGCATAGTTCATGATGATTTCCATTAGGAAGAAGAAGCTCTCTCTGAGGTGAACTCATTTAGACCAAAGAACAGGGAATGAGTGCAGTATAAATAAAGTATTAATAGATTTCTTAATGGACTTAAAAGGGCCATCATAAAAAAAACTAGAATGTTCCAACAACAAACAGGTTACTATCCTGGGAATAGCCTTGCAAATTTCTGAGGTGTTAAATTTATTTGGTTTCCAAATATTAAAATGAGTTTATAAACTTTGTCAGCCATTGGGAATCAAATTCATTAACTGACTGAGCAGAAACTAGGAAAAGCTCAAACAAATGTAACAGCACCTTCGTTTGTGAGATGTTGAAAGGGTGAATGTCACTGCTTGTATCGTATCTTGCGAAGCTATGCAAGAGAATAACATAAGGGGGGTTTAATATAGTTTTTTAACCTTGTGGTGGATTTAATAAATAAATATATGTGCTGCTAAGTATATTAATGAGTAATTATAAAATAACTTAATTTGGATATTCTTAAAGTGTTTAAAATTGTTTTCATAGGCAAAAAAATAGCACAAAACAATTCTTAGATTTTTACATTTTCTCTGATATATGGCCTTATACATTTAATAGATTATGTGGTTTTGCTCAATAAATGAATACTTTGATACATCAAAACTTGAACTATTATTTGAATAATGCATTGCTTTTCCATGACTCCTCTGATACTGAAAACTCTAATTCTTGTTTGAAACATATTGAGGAACATTCTAAATAACCTAATAGAATGCTTTTAAGTGTTCTTGATTTGTGACTTATAAAAGTGAAGGAAGATCTTTTATTCTCAAAGATAATTGTGAATTAAATTATAAATGAGTCAAAAATTTTAGACTCCAGCCTTTCTATTGATTCAGAAATTTAATCATTATTTTAAAAGTAAGAGTATACATATATAAAAATAATTTACTTAGATTATATAAAGTCTGTCCAGAGCTATACAGCTGTGTAATATGAAAAATAGAGACTTTTGTTGAAGATGATACAAGATACAAGAAATGTTGTACATGGGACAATGATGCCTCAGTCTTCTTCAAAGCAGGTATCTTGGGAACTCACACCGTTCTCCCAATCTCCATCAACTACCCTATCTTATTTTCCTGAATGTCATCTATGGTGCAAAATTTCTTTCCTTTCAAAGGTGATTTTGGTTTTGGAAAAGCCAGAAGTTGCAGGGTGCCAAATCTGGGCTGTAATGGGACTGAGTCACCTGGGTGATTTGATGTTTTGCCAAAACAGTCTGCAAGAGATGTGATGTGTGTGTGGGTGCATGGTAGTGATGAAGCTGCCAATCACCAGTTACCCGTAGTTATGATTTTCTGAATCATCCGAATAGTTTCCGTGGAGGAAACTGTTAAGCTCAATGCAAAATTTGATGCAGATTTGTTGCTCTACTTACTCAGTCATTTTGAATGCAATGGCAACACAGTATACAAGCTCACTCAACAGTGTCTACTGCCCCCACTGACTAGTATGGTGAAGTTGTCATTATTTACACATGCGCATTCTAGTTCACTCTCCTTGGCTACCAGGTTACACTGATGTTGTGCACACTCTTCTCATTATATTAACAATGCTTGGACATTTTCTGGAGAGACTTCCTATTAAATTTTGGAATAAAGTTTAATCAAGTAGATTTTTTTACCAACATTTACTAACATTAATATCTCTGAGATGCTTAATAATCCATTCATCACATTCATGCATATAAATTAGCATCATAAACTATCTTGGAAGGATTGGGTCTGAATACCCCATCTAATACCTAAATCCCCAAAACAATTGTTTTTAGTTGTTTTTAAATATTTGAAGGGATAGACCTCTTAAAGTAGACCATTCTATTTATGGATATTTCTTGTTTCCTTTCAAATTTTTTTGAATTTAAATTACATCAAAATCCATGAGAAACTCTAAACATTTGTCTTTTTTTCTTTTTTCCCAGACAAATGAAACAAATTTAAGTGTCCTTAACAGGCTAGATATTCAAATATTTAAAGATGATTTCATATTTCTGAAAATTACTCACTTTTCAGCCCCAAACTCACTTCAGTTTTCTTAAAGAATTTTATTTCCTGTCACAATATACCTATTTTTATATAAAATCTTCTAGATTATATATGCTTCTCTTGATTATTTCATTTATTATTTATATAAATAAAATTTCCTAGGAGTAAATATAAACTTTAAAAAATAATTGAGATTAGTATAAAATACTTTTATAGTATCCTAAAGCCAAATAAGGATAATGAAATACTTATCTAAATCACTTTGAAGTTGTTTTTACCCAATGAAACTAATTCATATGATAACCTTTCTGAGCCATGTCAGGTTTTGTATGGGTGGGTGTATGTATAGGTTTACTATATCATCAGATATAAGCAAATACTTCGCTGCATGTGGCCATAGCTTTTTGGATGAGAGGGAGACCAAATGCATTCTGATAAGAAATACATTAAAATTATAGAGGATAGCCAGTGAATTTGGGAAGGAACATTATTTTCCCAACCCTCTGATATGAACTATTTTTCCAAAATGAATGTTCCCTTGTTGAATTCTAGAATATTCCTCCTCTGTCTCCTGATCTTTCTCACTCCCATAATTTTATTTGTAAAATTATTTGAACACTGAGTTGCTTGTGTGTGGGTGAATTAATTCTAAGAAACTGAAAATGTTCAGAGTTAGACAACATGTAAAATTAGCGTCGCATAGATGTTATATTAATAAACACAAGTCTTTCTTCAGGATAATACCTTTGGGTTTACAATAAGGACGTGATGATGTCCGTACCCTGGCATCTCTCCTCTCAATATTGACAGACTTCTGTCTCCTCTTCAGCTTGTGATCAGCTGTCCCTCGGGGTGGCTGCCATCTTCGGGCCTTCGCACAGCTCATCCGCCAACGCCGTGCAGTCCATCTGCAACGCCCTGGGGGTTCCCCACATCCAGACCCGCTGGAAGCACCAGGTGTCCGACAACAAGGACTCCTTCTACGTCAGTCTCTACCCGGACTTCTCCTCGCTCAGCCGAGCCATTTTGGACTTGGTGCAGTTCTTCAAGTGGAAGACCGTCACCGTTGTGTACGATGACAGCACGGGTAAGAAACATCAGTGGCCTTTGGGGCTGTGTCCTACGTGTTCATAACTTTTCTGAAACTTACTCGAGGTCCTTACTGTATTTTTGTATTTTCTTAAACTGAGGAATGGAAATACATGTGGCATCAAATATACACACTAATTCTACACCATCCAAGCCTATATATATACACACATATATATATATATATATATACACACACATACAGTTTATATTTCTGAAAAAGCACATTTTTCCTGGGAAGGATTAGTTAGTATAAACTGTAATTTTGCATGAAAGATAGAGATAATGAGAAATGTAATATTGAAATATGTAGTCCAAGAATATTTTTGCTAGGTTCAAGATAATTACTCAATTAAATTCTCATGATTGGCTCAGTGAAACTTATTAAATTCAGAATTTTGCCTTTACTCATTCTCTAGCTTTCCATACAAATAATATTTATGAATAGTAATGACTTTCATCTCTATAACACATTAAAGTTAGAAAAAGTTTATTTTCCTCAAATTTTAAACAATACAATGTCCAGTGAAATATTCAGAGTGTTTGGAAATGTTTATGTGCAGATACATTGTAAGGACTTTAAAAACAACTTACTAAGTGGTATTTATGGTATCTTTAAAATGTATTTTGACTGGCTACAGGTTGTCTGTGCTTTCTTGTTTTAATGCATGCTTTTTTAATACATGAATGGTTATCTTGCAGTATGCATTAAAAACAAGTCTAATAGATAAATATTAGAAAGTAAACAGTAAAAATAAAATATTTATTTTTCTTGTAGCTATATTGTTGAAGAAAGTGCCTACTGTTTTGGTTATTGTGTAGTGATAAGGAATTTCATGGAAAGATATTTATCAGTGATCTAAATAGTGCTCTTTAAGTTAGAATTTTAAAATATTTCTAAGATTTTTCACTATATCTTGATGTTTACATCAAAATTAAAATTCATTTGAATTTAAATTCCCAAAGTATGCCAAGTACAAATTTGATAATGCATTCAGTATTTAGAAATATGCAGAAATTAGTCCCTTTGACAATAAAATTTACCATGTGCAAAATGACAGGCATTCTCCCAAGAGAACAGGGAACAAGGAGTTTCAGGGTGGAAAAAACAATACAAAGAATTAAAAAAAACCATTTTAATTGGAATAAGAGTGAGTCTAAAGATACATTAATAATAAAGTGAAGTGAAATATTTACAAATAATTTTAACTTTCTGTGTGAATGGGTTTTCTGGTTTGTATAATACTATGGTCCAGGGCATCCTCAGTTACAGATGGATCCACATATATTTAGAGATGGTCACATATAGAAATATGTAAATACAAAAGCACATGCATTGTGAATCCGTGGGCTATTTACTTTTCTGTTTTCTCTGATATCATTCAGGTGAAGGCTTCCCAAATACTCACACACATACATACACACACATACATACACACGGATGTGTATTATTCCTTATTATCTTAAAACTACTCACAGTAGAAAGAAAGTTGGTAAATGTCCAAAATGTTTGTGCTTATACAGTTATCTCTAGACATCCCCAGGGGATGGGTTCCAGGACCAACCACAGACACCAAAATTTGTGGGTACTCACATTCCTTAAATAAAATCGCAGAACATTTGCATATAACCTAAGCACGCCTTCCTGTATGTATTACATCATCTTTAGATTACTTACAGTATCTAGTACAATGTAAACACTGTGTCAACAGTTGTTATACTATATTTTTAAAGAAATAATGACAAGAAAAAAATCTGTACATGTTCAGTCTGGACACAACCATCCTAGGCCCAACTACACAGCGCACAGTGTGAGCAACAATGTAACTTTTTTGGGGGGTCCACCATTGGTTGCATTCTGGGGTGCTGGACCAGTGGATGCAGAGGGCTGACCGTAGCACCTTTCTTCACTATATTGTTTTTGTGTGTGTGTGACAATTTTATTTCATGCATGCAGTTCTTGAGTCACTGAATAAAGAAATAATGGGATTTGTGGTTGAGGTCATATTAGAATTGGGTGAAATTTCGTAGGTAATTGATCTTTAATAATATAAGCATAATACTGACATAAATTTAAGTGGAGAAATACATATAGTTAGTATATTAGATGTGCATACTTTTAATGGAGGCTTGACTTTACATTAAGTTTATTAAAGTATTTTAATTCACTATTAAAAATACTTTGTCACTCATCTTACTTTGAAGCTGGCATAGATACTTGGAGATTCTAAAGGTTCTCAATTACTTAAATATTAATTCTAAGAATCACTACAGAACTATTTATAGAATACATCTAACTTTAAAATCCTACGAGGAAAAAAGCTTATAATTGTTCCATTTTATGCAATATTGAATTCAAAATACATTTATTAAGCACCTGCTCCATTCCAGGGACAGTCACTGGTGCGTGCATATGCCAGGGAAAGAAATGAAGTCTGGCACTTTGCTGGGTTTCTAGTACCCATTTAGGGACACGTGCTTGTTCATGTTTTTAATATTATTAGTAATGATCCGATTGAATTTGTCCCTAGCCACTTGTAGTCCCTTCTAATTGAAAGTACTTTTGAGAACTGGGCTGTTCTTGATTTTTTTAATAGGATAAAACTGACTCTAAGAGAGAGAGAAGATTCCCTTTGAAATGTATTCATAAACATATAGAAGTATATTTCGTTTGTATTTTGGGATATGTTTAAAAGTCTTAAGGTAGAATTTTTTTTGAGTTTTGAATTTTATTTGCAACCGGCTTATCTAAAATCAAGCATTCAAAATGACACTGCAAAATGGGTCTGTACAGTTTTTAAAAAAATTATTTTATTGTTGTTCAATTATAGTTGTCTGCATGTGTCCCTCCACCCCCACCCAAGCCATCCCTACCTCCCTCCCCTGATTCTACCCCCTTGGTGTTGTCCATGTGCCCTTTATCACTGAAAACCCTTCCCCTTTCCCCCATTATCCCCTCCAGCCTCCCCCATGGTTACTCTCAGATTGCCCTTAATTTCAAGGTAGAATTTTAATGATGGCATTTAACAGAGAATATTTAAACTTTGGAGTAAACAACGTGACCACTGTATTTAATCATGTGGGAGGAAATCTGATTATAGGGAGGACTGTGAACTGAAACAGGAAAAAATCCACCTCATACCCAACAAGATAATCATTACTGACTTCATTATGGACTGAATGTATCTGCAATATACTGTAGGACACTCTGTGCCGTTTTATTTATGTTCCCTTTTTCCTTTCCAGATTCATCTATTATGCATGCTATTCCTCCCATTTATATTCATTTCTGTTTTGTTGTGTTGTCCAGTTTGATACATGATAATTATACTTCTCTCCAGTGTTTGTTCCCACCCCCCAAAACAGATGGGATGATAGATGAAATATAGTGCTGCAGTAGGAGAAATTCTTAGAACGATGTTAACAGGCGCTGTTTATTTTTTATGATAATTAGCATTTGTTGTTGTCATGGATGAATGCTTTCAAACGCCCTGGAAGTTTGTCACAGCTCTGAATGATGTCCAAAGATGATGGAAAAGAATTGGCTTCAGAAACAATGCTGTGTTTCTGTCAGTCACTTTGGAGCATATGATTCATTTTAAATATGAACTAAAAATAAGTTGGATAGCTGTCAGCTTGTAAGCATTTCCAGGATAAGTTGTGAATATTTGCTTTAAAACCCTGTGTTTCATCTTTGTTTATAGATCAGCAGTCCATTATCAAGGAAGTCTGGACTAGTAAACAAGTCTGGGAATCTATTCTCAGTTTTGCTCCTAAATGACTCATACAACTTTGGGGGGAAAAAAGAAGAAGGGGTAGAATTGCCTACAGAAAAGAGTTATAATACCACAGGCATTGAGTAGCTACTATTACACAAACTATTTCACTTAGCCTTCAAGGGAATTTTATGAGTCCTAAAGAAAACGGGTTTTTATACTGCCATCCCTGGTTGCTCCAATGACTGGCTGTTCTGCCCACCAGCAGCTTAAGACAGAAACCTGAATATCTTCCTTGTTCCTTCCCTTGTTTGGCCCCACAGTCAAGCTCTAACAGTTGTCAGTTTGCCAGCTCTATGATGTCTGAAGTCTGTGCATTTCCTTCCTCCTCACTACAACTTCTTAGGTCATCTCTCATCTGGATTATCATTAACCGCCTTTTTACTGGTCTTTCTATTTCAAGCCTGCATCCACTAACTAATTCAGTCTCTGCACTGCGGTTCAAGTCATTTTTAAAAAATGCAATTCTGGCGCTGAGTGGTGTGGCTCAGTGGGTCAGGCATTGTCCTGTAAACCATTCCCAGTCCGGGCACATACCTGAGTTGTGGGCCAGGCCCCCAGCTGGGGGCATGCAGTAGACAACTGATTGATGTTTCTCTCCCTCTCCTCCCTCTCTTCCCTTCTCACTAAAAATAAATAAATAAAATATTTAAAATTTCAATTCAGACCCATTGTTCTATTAATAGTTTCTCATTGCTCTAAGGATAAACTTTTTTAAAAGGCCATAAAACCCGCCATGATCTAGTCCCTCTACTTCTCCAATGACATTTGAATATAAATCCCTCGCTTATGTCTTTCCAATTGAGCAATTAAACTTCTTTGAGTTTCTGAAAATACAATTTTGTCTGCCTGAAAAGCTCTCCCACTGGCCCCAACTTCTCCTACTTGCTAAGTGGACATAGAAGTGCAAGTGTGCACTTGCACATACTTGTACATGCTCACACACATCTTCTGGGCTTAGATGTCACAACGAAGCTGCCCTTACCCCAGCTCTCAAGCCTGAAATAGGGGTCCCCCAGCATATCCTCCTAGCACTGTAGTACTCACATTCGCCTCCCATCAGGAGCATGCACCACCTTATGAATGTTTGCTTTGGCTGTGTTTTCTACCAGATCAAATACATATCTCAGTAGAATGGACACTAAAGCTGCTCACCACTCTATCTCTATCTCCTAGATGTTGCCTGGCTCACAAAAGTACCTTAATGAATATTTAAGGAATG